ACCATGGCGAGATTTTATGATCAGCAATATCACATAATTTAACGCGAACGGGTAGTTCATAAAGAATAGGACACTAATTTTCGTTTTTTTTGTTATGAATCAGAAGTGCATATCACAAGTTCTATTCTTATTGTAGCTCATAGAGAATTTTTCGCTCTGCAAAACTCTTAATTTTGTTTTTCAGATAAGTTTTTCTTGATGATAAAAAACTGAAAAGATAAACCGGTATTTACAATTGCAACAGCTTAAAAGTCGCAATTGACAAACCATTTTTGCAATAGAATCTCGACAGAAATTCCAAATATGCTATAGAATTCTCTACAAATTCTCAGTCTGTTGATTTTTGTTAACGATTTTTCGAAAAGAACTATTTCAGAGAAAATCTTTGTCGATAATAATTCGAAAATTCTGAAAGAGAGTCTTTTATGGCAAATCTCTAGCAATGTTTGTTCTTATTTCGAAGATGCTTAAATATTTTCTTTGTTTACTTTAAAAGTTATACCATTTTCCTCAGACTTACTTAGGATTAGTCAAAAGTTCTGATAACATAAAATAAAAATATGAAAATAAAGAAATATTTTTAATTTTAATGTCCAAGGTAATTGTGGTGATTCTTTTTTTTTACACATATTTTGAGTCTTCCTCATAATTAATAGTTAGAAGTTTTCCCATTTGTATTCGATAATTCGATATAAATAATTCCAATCGGATCTACGTTATCAGAAATGATCGAATTCAACAAGTGGAATTGTTCAACTCTTATATAATCCCATAGCTTCGAATGTTTGGATCTTGAGAAAGAATTTTATTGTAGAGTCTTCTTTCAGTTCTCATTTGATATAGTGGATTCCGATGATTTTCTGACATCGAATATGATAGATTCTATCAGTTGGATCTCATCGTTTCCGACAACATAAATCTAATTGGAACTCAGTCAATCCGGTAAGCGGATATTAACAAAAAACGCTATGAGTAGTCGGATTTCGAATCTATCCGACAGAATTTAATCTGGAGAAATTGACTTGAGTCTATCTCATTCTTTATGGATCACCGTTATATATATATATTAAAAAATCATGCCTATGTATTCGAAGTACGATTTAGTATTTTCGAATTGCGGTTAAGTATTTCAATGTTTTACATTTTCATTAGTCGCTCAGGTTTATACGTTTTTGAAATTGAGGATAAAACTCGATTATTTAATATATTTTAGATCTCCGCAATGAATTACAAACGTTTTATGACAATGATTTGAGCAAGTGATTTCTATAATTTCTAGACTCTTTCCCACTCATCATTATTCTTCTTTACACATATTATTCATCAATACTAGAAGTTGTAACGGAGTATTGAATCAGAGCAAGGTTTTGGTTCGAAGAAAATTTTTCTCTCAAAGCGGGACAAGATGGAAATCGAAAATTTCTTTCCGTTTCAAGCTCTGACATGAACGTTATGAATTGTCCTTGTCTTTTCTGTTGTATTCTGAGGTTTCGGTAAGATACTGAATAACTATCAAATTTTGCAACTTTTCGAGCAGTCAAGTGAATGATTTCTTTCAATGTGACTTCTATTTTGAAGTTTCAAGGTAATCATCAACAAATCATTCTTCTCTATAGTTGTTTATTCTTCTTTTAAAATCAAATCACTGATCGCATAATCATATTAAATAAGTGTTAGTTAATTCAACTCAATCACACGCAATATAATGTCTGTAAATATTCTATTTATATACTAATCGATATTTGTATGCACATATCTTATTGATTGCATTTGGTTATTGATTCAGTTTATCTTAGTCGTTGAAAAGTTCTATTCAAGATGAAATTTTATTTAATTATTATTTTTTTCTTGTAAAAGGAGTATATATAAGAAAGATATGAATATAGTCATAGTTACGATTTAATATCTGTTTTACTTGCCAATAAGTCTCGAATTTCTAGTAATATTTTTGCTTCTTCACTTAATTCTTTCAATTCAGCATATTGATCTTCTTGTTTTTCCTTAGTTGCCTTTTTACGTAGCTTGCTAACCAATACAATTATGAGGAATAATGCAAATGATACGATTATTAAATAGATTATATGTTGAATAAATGCACCATAACGAAGTAGAACTGGTGGTTGACTTGGATGTGCAAAACTGTGCATTTTTATTGTTAAATTATTAAAATCAACACCACCAAAAATTAAACCAAATGGAGGTAAAATAATATCATTAACCAGTGATTGAACAACATCGCTAAATGCTTTACCAATAACAAGGCCAATGGCCATATCAATCACACTACCACGCATAGCAAATCTATTGAAATAAAATTACAATAAAAATCATAATCAAAATAAAATATTTTTTGTTTTTACATACTCTTTAAAGTCTTTGCAAAGACTTTTACAACACTTGCAACAACGTCCCATTTTTATCTAAACAATATTTTACGTATATTGTTAAGTTATTTGATCAGATTATCTTAATAAAAAATATATATATCAATAACATACGCAAGCCGCATTGAGTTTAATTTTTTATGAAAAAAAATTTTTTTTCGTTCAATTCTTTATAAAATAATCAATTGTTGATACTTATTTTAGCTTTTACATTAAGTATCATCTTCATTTTCATTCATTGAAATATATTATTTTTTGAAAAATTGAACTTGATACAAGAAGACAACAATACAAAAACCATAGATGATATCATTTTTTTTCACAGTAGTCGCAGAAAGTTTCGCTACTAGATAAAAAGTACATTAACTTCTATCATTGTGCCTGATATTTTGACTAGAAATAGAGCTCGATTAATCCTGATCCAAAGCAGCAATCCACGGTCGATAGGCCTTAATACAACTGATTTACGATGAAAACAGCCGATTTTCCACTAGTTAAATATGTTAATCCCCATTTTCTTATTGGCAAATAAAGATTCGCATGTCTATATTGTGTCAAACATAGGGTACTGCAATCTGTTCCAATTTTGAGGTGCAGGGAAGCCTCTATCGTCTATGACGGTCTCAGCGTGGATCTCTTCCGCATCGATGGCTACGATGGTGAAATTTTGCGAAGAAAACTTGATTAGATTAGAGCACTGACTGAAAAATATTTCAAGGCAAATGGTTAAAACTAACCGAAGATATCAGTCAATTTTCGATGATTCTCATCAACTCTCATGTAGAGATTACTTCATAAATTAGGCAAACTAAAATCATTTAATATGAAGTTTTTCCTGGTGATAGAGGCAGCACTGAGCTATCGAACAAGGGGTCTAACGTCATGAGATTTGTTTTCTAAATTGAGATATCATCATCTGAAGAAAAGCTTTATGTTGATCTTCTAGCTTTTCCGCATGAAGATCGAACTAGTCCTTATGATCCGAGTTCAACATGCTGTATTTCTGATCAAACTATCAGACTAAAGGATTAATCTTTAGGTATTTTTTTACTTGGCAGCAGGATCTTTTACAACTACTATACAGCACCCTCATCATACTACCATAGGCGTAGGTGTAAGCCGACGCATTGATCCGCGGCTGAAAATTTTCGATGAGTTTTTTAAAGTTTCTTAATGTCGAGAGATTTTCGAATGAAAAAAGAGAAAATGGTGGTAGAGAACTTATTGACAAGAAATCAGATGGTAGCATCTCCAAAAACTAATTTGGAATGTCAGAAATTTTTAAAGAACAAATATCTATATTTGTGTCACAGCTTAATCATTTGAGCGTTAGTAGCTGAAGTGATGGCTCAGCTGATCAACTCACACTTCTAATCATAAGAAATACATATGCGCTTAGAAATTCAATGATGAATACACTATAGCTGTATTATTCCTAACGAGTTAATCGTCCAGTTCAAGAAACACAATTATCTATCTTAATGAATTTGAATTATTAAATGTTCTAAATTGCGAATAAAGAATGAGCTATATAATGATATATCTATTTTTGCACAGAAATATCTATGTACTCAAAGACAGTGAAACTAACTGATAAAAATTCATATTTACTGTCGTATGGAAAAATTTATCAATGCAAGACTTCAACTTAATAATACTCAACCTGATTTCACCTAATACAATATAGCACCTAGGAGCAAAATGAATCAATATTTGTATATTTTGTAATGCTGTGGACAGAAAATAAAAATATACCACCGTTTCTTTTTTATGCTAAATCGATCCTATCAAAAAAAAAGAAGAGAACGACAAAGTAAATGTGTATAATCATCGTTAGCAATTAACTGATGCATGACAATTTATACGATACAATCCGTATTTTTTAGTCAAACGACTACGTATAATGCTTGTACTGTAATTTATTCAATTTCAATATGATTGATTTCTTCAACGTGATACAAAAACAAAATGATCGGAAAGATAAATACACATACTCCTAATAAATCAAATACAGCATGTAAAAACAAATTTTATAAACCAAAACACTACAGTAATAATTAGATGAGTATGGAATATTATTTGTTCGCCATGTCGTGAAACTTATATGCATGTGATAAAAGTTTCCTATGAATAAAATCAGAAACATAATTTATTATGTTCCAAACTATGAGTTACTATATTCTCGATCATGCTTTTTTTCTCAAAATGAACAGATTACTCAGATATACTAAAGTTAAATATATTTAATTTTTCATTTCTAACAAAAAGATTTTACTTTAGACAATCTATTTGATTCTTGAATATTTTATTAACTAATGAAAATAGTTTGAATATCATGACAATATTATCTATGATTAAAAATTTTATGTTTATTCTTTTCTTACATGTTGATTACAAGACACAGGAGATTTTAAAAAGATTTTTGTGAAAAATTTAAGTACAAGAATATCAGCATGAGAAGAATATTTATATGATTATTGGTGTTTTGATACATCAAAAATAGTTCTACCTTCCCTTGATGCACATGTTTTATTTTTTTAATATATAAAAGTAACAGCGAAAAAAAGAAAAAGCAATCAAGTGTGTCGATCATAAGAGACGAGCAGAATTAGACAGATGGATAACGATTACAAGGTTAATGAAGAAATGTGTCCCAAAATAGATAGAATAAAACAATCTCTTTGAGATTGGCAACAGCAATTACATCAAGTTTCACATTTTAATCCTGCACGGATTGCTCTCACAGCTTGTTGTTAATTCATCAATGCTAGTAGATCTAGTTTTATTCGTAAATGTCTTTCATCAAATGTTCTTATACGAACAAATATAGTGGAACAATTTGATATTGACAGAAAAATTACAAACCACATTGGCACAACATGAATTATGATCATTTTAGAGACAACAACGGTCTACATTCGGAATGACGACTACCAAAACATTGAAAAACATAATGATTACAAGGTTATCTCAGGCTGTAATTGGTCATTTAATGTATCTTGTTACTTGGAAGAGCACTGCTTTTCAAACTCGAAAATTATTACGAAATAGAGATTTTACAGTTCAATATTTAATATAAGTTTAAATTTGTATCAATTATTTAAAATATAAAGAAATTTTCTGTAGTGATGTATGATAATAAAATTTTTCGAGAAAGTTTCTAAATACTCTATACTCAACAAATTAACTTTAGAATCACATTTTCTGTTTTTGCACACATTCTTATTAAGGACTGAGTTAATATCGATATCTACGGAATGTATTTCATTGAAAAGCATGTCAAATAAAATAAAAACGATAATCCTTTGTAAAAAGTTAAGAATAATTGATTTTTGAATTGAGACTATGTATATCATGTAGATCCACATGAGTTTTGAATATTCTGAAAAGAGTACGGACTCTTAGCTTATTGCTGCAAGGATGATGCATTTTTACGGTACCTTTTAAAATGAATACCGTGGTCCTCTTAGGGAAAACTGATTTTCGACTTGAAATATTGCGCAGCGACACGTGTTAACAAGAATAGTTTTTTGTGAACGTTTCAGGTCTTTTGATTTGTTCCTTTCCTGAAATAAATATATAAAATCTGCCGGTATACATGAACGATGTAAAACACACGCTTTTATCATAGCTGTATCTTAGGATAGAAACAACGACAATATCTGAAATATCTACTGGAAAATATTGTCATTAATACCTATTTCTATACAAAGTTTCAAGTCGAAATTGCGAAAATCAGTTTTTCTTTTACTACGGTATTCATTTTAAAAAATACTGTAAAAGTACAGTGACTCCGCAGCAATAAGCTAAGAGTCTGAACTTCTTTTAGAGTATTCATAGTTCGTTTGAGTCTACATGAAATATATAGTCCCAACTTAAAAGCGACGAATCAGTTGGTGGGCTTAAGCAGCGAGAACTTCGAGATATTATTGAACTTTATAAATTGTTTTCTTGTTTATTTGAATACATTGAAATTGTTCGACTTGGGCAGTTACAAGAAAAGCATGAATGAAGTAATAGTGTTTAACAGTCATATCTAAAATACATAGGCAAATATTTTATTAATCTCTCAATGATGTCAATACGTTAATCATTCACCACTCAATGCTAAGTATATCATGATGCATGTAAATCTTACGTTCAATGAAAGTATGCGCAAGTGATAATAGATATGAAATAAGTATTTGATAACGCGGACTTTCTCAAAAAAGAAACAAAAGATCATATTATATATATTCGAAGTAGTGACATGTATATTATTGTTATTTATCCTTCTATTATGTTCTGCTATTTGGTCACGTTTGGTTTCACTTTCTACTTGCCAATTGCAACGTTGGCTATTGAATGTTTAGACTGTTATCAAGGATTAGGGTTTAATTCTTCCGAAGTATTAAATACGATAAGACCAGACTGTCGAAGAGAAAATGAACCAAGTTTAATACGTGTGACAACATTATCGATTTATTTCGAAAACAATAATGCTTCTGTATTTTTCACTCATCTTCCCGAACAAACAATAATTTTATTAAATAGAAATAGAATAGCTATAAATATGACGATGATTTGGTTTAACAAAAAAAAATAGCTTCCAATTCACTGCAATCGGTCTGTAGTGATAGTAAAGATTGCAAAGAAGATGTAAACAAAACTTATAACACAAGTAAGTTTAATAGATATGAATACACATAATAAAATTCAATATACTTTTAAATAATAATTTTGTCGTTTTTTTTCCTAGTGAAAAATTTGCAATATGACGAAGTTCAAACAAAACTACGTGAACTTTTACATTCTGATCAATCATATGTTTTCAATCTTACGTGTTTCAATAATCAAAACCAAAGTATTCATTGTCCCAATGGATTTTGTCAATTATTTCGTAAAGATAGATCCTATATTGATTGAAAATGTGTTCCACAAGGTGAAAATATCAATCGATCAGGTATAATAATTGAATCAAATACCCTGGAAGAACCAGATACTGAAGCCAGTTTTACTTGTGTATGTACCAAACCGATGTGTAATGGAATACAAAAATATGCACAACTACAACAATTATTGCTGCAATATGGACTATTACCATTATCAGATATAATACCACCAGTTATACAAGAAACAACTACAACAACTTTAACTACAATGCGAACATAAACTTCATTAAAACCGAACGTAGCAATAGCAACATTACATCAACCAATGATGAATTTTCAATGGCTGCTTCTTTTAATAATAGCAATTCTTTTAAAAATATAATTTATATTTCTATTATGAATTGTTTTCGAATCAATACACTAGAAAGTTTAATAATAAATAAACAGATCACTTCAAAGCTTGACTTTTTATTGTTTTCAATAATGAATTTTCTTTTAAGAAAAACCAAATTAAAAAAAAAAGTTTCATGTATCAACAAACAGAAGAAAAACATCAATCACATACTGCAACTGTTAATATCAGCAGTTGACATACAACCATTAATGAGCAGAATTAATCATTTTTTAGTGTTGGTTTCGCGCTTAGTAAACGAAAAATGCGATATCATTTTCTAGCATTGGCAATAAGCTCAAGATATCTTGTGCGACTCGCATAACCTTTAACATTCTCCCTCTCGGAGATTCGCTAATACTTCATCTATTCTGCACGTTTATGCATGCGACAACTCTGTTGTTTACGAAGAAAAAAATATGATTAATTTTACTATCGAAATTATAACAACAAACACTGAAATGATCATTACTCAAATAATTTTCGCATAAAATTTTAGAACACATGAATCATGACAATATGACATTTGACATGACAATAAAACATATCAATCTCAATAGAAAAGTGTTGACCCTGGTCCCTGTCGAAAAAAAAAACAATTTGACACCGGTCCTGTCGGAACTAGGACCATCTTGTCTATATCTACATACAACTTTTAAAATATAAAACATGGGTGAAAATAGTTTTGATCACCAAAATTTTTCAGCATTTATTTTGCATTATCTTTCTCAATAGAAGATGTGAGAATAGTATTTTCTCTACGCCCATACCCTCATATTTGGATCTATTTGATCTCAGAAAACAGTGCTGATTATGGATGAGTCGTTGTATATGTCGTGTAACAGCATCCAATTAGAGAAAGTGAAAAATCCCAACTCGAAAAAAACCGATGATCAAAAGTATTTTTTTTTTGTTTCATAAAACATTCTGATTTTTTTTTTATGCATTCGATTAAATTTTATTACGTATGTTTTAATATTGATTCACTTAAGTAATCATCAACCATAGTAATATTTTAATAAAGATTCGTCAATAAATTCAGTTACGAACAAGAAAAAAAAAAAAAGATTTTTTTTCTTCATCGAAAAAATTTTGAAATTTTTTTGTCTATGAAATATCAATGCAAAAAAAAAACAATATTCTTATCTACTCAAGCAGAATGAAATCTAAATTTCCAGCTTAATTAAAACTCATTTGAACTTTTTCTTTTTGCATTAGTCATATATAGTTTTTGTTTCTTGGGGCATAAAAATGAACGCTTCTATGGTACCATCGAAGTATGTTTGTGTGTGTAGGTTGGTGAGAAGAAAAAGAATACAAAAAAAACCGGTCGTGCACAGGTATGTGTATGTATAAATTAAACCCATTTTTTTTAACTTTAAAAGCTGTTAAGTAAGTAAAACATAAATAGCGTATGTGAATGGTAAATAAGAGAATAAGAAGAAGAAAAAAACGAAATAAATCTGAGTAAGTTGACTAACTTAAGTGATGTTATTTCTTTGTTATAGAAACTATTAATCTTTTTTCTTTTCAGTGTTCATTTTATTTGATGATGAATAGAGATTAGAATTAAAATTTATAGTATTATATTAATGAAGAATTTTTTTGTTTTCTCTTCATTTGATAAAATTTATAGAGATGCAAATCATGGTATGCTCATTAAATTTCAATCTTTCTTTTTTCAATTATGTATTATTATTATACAGTAGTCTGTTTGTATATAATCAAGAAAGCATGTCAGATGTTTGAAAGAATACAAAAGAAAATATACTTTTTTTTCTTTCTTTTATTATTCTCTATACTTATAATACATTATAAATTATGAGCAGAAGCCTTCTTTTAACCTATTGAATCTGTAATACATTAGAAAAAAAAATTATTTGAGAAGAAAATAATAAAAAGAAAAACAGATTCGATTTTGATTAGGAAATCTATTCGATTTTTAATTTCATTTTCTTTTCTTTTTGTCAATTAGATTAATATGTTTCAATATGATTGTTATCGTTCAAAAAAGCTACACAAACGTAACAATAGTTCAGATAATGATGATAGTGATTTCAATAATCGAGATCCAGGTCGAGAAGTTATTGAAAAAAATACTCGAAATCGTCTACAACGTATTGCTAATCAAACAAAAGAAGAATTAAATATAGTACTTAAACGTGTTGATGATGTATGTAATATGATTTCTTGTTTTTTTGTATGGAAAATATAATAGAAAAAAAAATCTTTTAGACATTAAATAATTATGAATCTTCAGTTCAATCATCTTTAATTCAACATGGAATGACACATGATGACATGTCAAATGTTGAACATGTTGCTGATATAAAAGAATTAGAAAATTTATTAAATGATACTTTAGCTAAAAAACGAGTAATTCTTATCATATTCATATATATATATATATTTTTTTTTTTTTGTTTTCTTATTATCTAATTTTAATATTTAGTATCAACAACGTGTAATGATTTTCATTGTTGGACAAACCGAACAATTAAATGAAAAAACAAAACTACTCGAACAAATTGGCCAAGTAAATTATTCATTTAAATTTTTAATCTAATTAGAATAATCTTTTATTTTTGTTTTTTATTGTCTTATAGTTTTTTAATGAACAAAAACAAAGTTTTAGTTCAAAAGAATTTAATATATCTGATGAAATCAATGAAACACAAAATGAATTTGATCAAACACTTAAATCATTTGATGTTAAAGATTGTTATGTTCATGTTAAAGAATTAGGTACACGATTAAATGAACTTAATGAAGAAATTATTGAACATTTAATTCAAAATGCTGCAGCAAAACAACAAGCAAAGTAAACTTCGAATTATTTATTTTCTTTATTATTGATTTTTAAATTTTTTTTTCTCTCTAGAGGAAAAAAGAAATCAGCTCAAACGCCAAAAGAAACTAAAGAACAATTAACTAATCTTCAAACAAAATTAGATATAGCAAATACAGGCATATATGATATTGTATATGAAAGAATATTAATTGAAATATTTTCTTTTAGAAATTATAAATCGAGATGATAAAATTCAATTATTAGAAAATGAAATACAAACAAATCAAAATAATCAAGTAAGAATAAATGGAATAAATAATTTTATTTAAAAAAAAAATTTTCTATAGAAAATATTACATGATCAATTAAATCAATATGAAATAAAAATTAAATCTTATATAGATGATATTAATGAATTAGAAAATAATATTCAACAATATCAAAATCAAATAGATAATTCAACAAATATTAAATCAGTTACTCATCATGTTGATGCAAATGTAAGTATTTAAAGTTAATAGAACACTTATACTGTTTTTCTTAATTATTCGCTTCCCACATTGTCACAGCATGGGTCACAAATCTGTCAACTTGTTATAAACGATTGAAAATTATCACGCTTAAAATTGTTTTTTTTTGCCAAAGAAAAAGGAATTTCGTAATAAGACTAAAGTTTTGATTTCTATCGTCACATAAAGTAGAAGTAATTAATAAAAGATTAACTCATCGTCTATTATTAGTTTGCAATGTATAAAACGATTTGTGTGATATTGAATATTGCACATAGTAGTAACACCTATATCCTATTATACTCTATAAAAAAAAAAGCTCGAGGAAAATTTCTCTCTATATACACTCTCGAAATTTTCTATCATCCTACATATTTATGTTTTGAATTGGAACTATATAGTTTGAAGACACTTATCCTTAAATATTTTTTTGTGCATTCGTATGTTTTTTGTATAAAATTTTTATAAATATGAAAATAAGCTTTTACAAAAGTAATTAGATATTCTGATAGGTTTTACATATTTACGTCTTGAATTTCATTCATTTACTAAGAAAATATTTCGAACATTGTCAATGTATCCATATCTTCACTTCGATTAGAATTACTCACACATGACGTCACCACTTTCTTCATGAATTTTGTATTCTCTCCAACTGATGTTATCACGTGTTCCATTTTAATCTTCAAAAAATTGTTGGAGTTTTATTCGGCATTTCTCTAATAGTAATGTATGTATGAATAATAGAGCTCGTCGAATCCAAAATTTTTAAACTCGGATTCGGATTCGGAGGCCAACCCGACAGGCTCTAGTGAATAATCATATTGAAGTAAAGCTAAGGACGTATTGACAATGTTCAAAATACGTCTCAGTAAATAACTGAAAGTCAAGATCTAACAGGTACGCCATGCATATTTTCTATTTATTTTGGTCACGTTTATAGATAGAAAGCTGTGCTTAACCTCAAAATATTCTCTATTCTATTCTCTACTATTTTATAGACAGTTGAACAATGGATCATTTGAAACAAGCGTAGTTTTCTATCTACAAGTATGGATAAGATAAACATAAACTATGAATGATGCTATTATTTATGCCGCATCTGTTAGATATTCAGAGGGATAGAACATTTCAAGGGGTATCCGAATATGTAATTGCTTTTTTGAAAACTTATTTAGATGTTTGTTGAAAGTTCGAAAAGAAAACATGTGAACAAACAAAAGAAAAGTTTAGCTTGTAAGAATCTGGGGATGAGAGTGTTTATATTATAGTTAAAACATTACTCATTGAATATTTGCAATTCGAAACACAAATATGTAGACTGATAAAGAATTTCGAGAGTGTATATAGAGAGAAAGTTTTTCGAGAGTATTTTATAAAGTCTAATGATGTCGACGTCACTACTTTTGGAATTTCAAATTTGTACAGAATATTTCAGATCTAATTAATATTTAATTAAATATAAATAAGATGACGTTTTTTTTTTATAATTAAGAATACCGCTGATACAAGAAAGGCAAACTGTATGTAACATTATATTTATTTTATTTTATTTTATTTTTTTGTTTGATATATTTATTTTTATAGTG